ATGATTGCAGCATCCCTACCAAGAAAGGATCTAACTACAATTTATTTAAATAGAATAAGCTAGATTTATTTTAGCAATGAGTAAAGATAAAGAAAATGATAGGAACATCTGCTGTAAAGTGCAAAAGACTTTGGTTTCTTTAAGATTGCTGGAAATTAAGCATCACTTCCTGAATTAGACTCTCACTGGCAAGTTCCCTGGTTCTACAAACCAAACCATGCCAGTGCATTCACTTTGAACTGAATGGCCATAATTCACATCACAATTAAACATGCCCCAAACGGTGGCTGACTACAGAGGCTCAGCTCCACCTGAAATTCTCTGAGAAGTATGACAGGAGCAAGTGAGACATCATGAGCAGGAGAGTGCAACTCAAAGACAAACTGCTCTGGAAGCATCCAAACTAGAGTTATCCTTGAGTTGTTCTACGAAAAGCAGCAGTATCCCTCCAGGTTTACTGGCTGCTTCTCCCAGCAAACACCAGAACTACACGAACACCTGTACTATACTCATTCAGAGTTTCTACGTAAGGATACAAAGAGCAATGCAAGATTCTGCAGCAGCAGTATGGAGTGCATTGACAGCACAGAAGTTCCAACATTCTAGCAGGGTTTCTACAGGCTGCCCACATTAAATTTGAAGCATGAATTAATCATGGTGAGGTATGATTGCTCATTCTTAGAAGAGTAGAACTAGGACAGGAAATATAAGATCATATCTCATGCACTCAAATACCCCGGAGGAAATATTGCTTTAGTTCTCACCTTTAGCTTTGCAAGATGCTCTAAAACTCCTCTCTAGTCCTCACTTTATTCTTTCTACCTCCTTGTCTCAATTAGGAAATAAAAGTATGGTCTAGCAAAAGATCCAATAAGTAAATTCTTTTCTTTTTTCTTTTTTTTTTTTTTTAAACTTCAGTCTGGCACATGGAAAGTTTTGATCAATTGCATTACTACTGCAAAGTACTAAAATACCAAGTCCTTGGACCATTTAATTTATCAAGATCGCCAAAAGACGCAGATTTTTTTGTCACTTCAAAAACCCACAGGAATCCTGTAACTGTCACTAAATCAATGAAAGCAAACAAAATCCTGCAAAGTATCCTCATTACCACAATGGTGAGCACTTTCCAGAAGTACCACAAGGTATTCCCAGGCCTTCTCTTCAGAAGAAACAAAATAAAACTAATGATCCAATGAAAAACACTCTCCTGAGCGTTTTCCAGAATGCAGAAAGTTCTGCTGTCACAACAAAAGCATTGCAGATCACACAAATCTTTGCTCTTTTTTGCAGCTTTACACAGTCTTGCAGATGCACGCGAGCTAAGCCATCACAGCTGTTTTTTTTAGAATTAATAATTTGAAAGATAAATGGAGGAGAATGCAAATTCCAGGTTACTCCAAGGTTTAACTCAGGCAAATTAAATGTGTGGTCACACACATCTAACTACAGAACAGAGCATCCCACAAAAATAAATAAGCACTCCCTATCTTTTGCAAAGCCTAAGATTCTGTTACCACACCTGGACACCTACTAGTTACGTAGATTTATTATTTAAATTAAAAATCAAAAACAATGAAAAAACCACAGCATCCAAACAGGACCTGTGTGTATGAGCATGACTAACCACTTTAAGCCTCTGTAGATACCATCCCTATTAGCCAGCTATTTAGCAGACTAAACTATAACAAAATGTTTTTCTTTCTTAAAGTATCTGGAATGAAATCAGGTGCCCAATTTCTCAGAAAACCTCACGTAATACAGAAAATAAACTGATCTTTCGGTAGTGTCTCAACAAGGAGCTCTGCTTGCAGCTGATGTCACCGTGAGCAGTAGGTCTTAACTTTCTGCCCTCACTAAACTTAAATGTTTAGAAAAGGTTGGCCCTCGGCTTAAGCAAACAGCACTACAGCTACTATCCCCACTGCAGTTTCACTGTCTTCCAAAAAAAGAACATTCTTATAGCTAGCCCGAGAGCCAAGAATGTTCAATCCTTGAAAGCATAACAAAATAATCTAGCAATCTATCTTAAGGGCTACCTTTGTTAGCAGGAAAATTGAAATAAAAACAATTTCTATAGAACATCTTGCAGTTTGATACCAGTATTTATACTGAAAAAACAGGAAGAGGAGAGCAGCAGGGAAGAGAGCAAAAGAGAGAAAGATCAAGGAAACCTCATTCTTTAGAAGGACAGGAATGGGATGTAGCTGATATTTAATCAGCAGAATCTTTTTGATCAAAGTTGTAGTAGAGGCTGTGTGGCACCTGAGACAGGAAGATGCATTGCCCCCCACACTTCTCAGCATCAAGTCATGTCCTCCTGTAAGTAAAGAATTGCTTCTGAGCAAAGCAGCTCATAAGACATTTTGAAAATTAAAAAAACAGCAAAAGAAATCATCAGAAAAACTTTCAACCACTCCAGGAATTCCTGATGCCCTCACCCTTATCTATTTGAAGACTTGGGCTCAATATCATTGCTCCTCTGAGGCTTACCTGTAAAAAATCCTTAGCTATGGTACCAGCTATACTAGCAATTTCTTCAGTTACTTAAGAGAATAGGTATAACATATCAATGTATAACATTAGACTGAATTAATGAGAAGAACTATAACCTGATTTAATATATTAATATCTGCAAAAGCCTTGGAGACTTGATGTTGTAATTGACTCAAAAAAAGAAGGTCACAGTTGCATTATAATCAGACTTCAAAATTTAAGAATAGCATATGAGAAACACGTTGTTCATCTAGCAGAAGCACCTAAAGTAGAATACTCCTAACACAATTTTATTAGCTGACACTAGCAACACAATATGGGTCTGGATCTTACAAATGAAAACTTCATTTAGTTTCTTACCCTATTGTTGGGTTGATGTTGGGATCAAAGCTATCTTCCACAAATCTCCACACGATACTTGATTTGCCCACACCAGTGTCCTAAAAAAGGAACAGAAACATGAAAGAGATAAAACTTGCTGTAAACAATTCTTTTTGTCCTCCCATCTTGCAATATTTTGTAGGAATAACACATTCCTGCAGAGAATCTCAGTGAAGTTAGAGGTTCAGAAATATTTCAGGTATTATTTTCTTTGTTAACTACAAAAATGAAAAGTCTCTCGTGAGTTATAACTTCCTAAATAAAACTGTTATCAAGGAATATAAAAACCTGTATTCCTTATTATCAGTCATTCAGCCTTCCCTCAGCCCCCTAAGGGTGGACACAAACCACTTATGAACTAGAGCAGAGAAAGACCTTCTACCACATTTAGCAGCATATACAGAAACTGAATTTGGTACTCCACCTTTGCAAGCCAATCAAGCATGTGAAATTATACAAATGTGACACACACATTTCAACTTCTGACTAATGCCGTCCCACCCTGCTTAATGAAAGGCCAGAGATGTCTCATATGACACACACCTGAGACATGTTTCCATTTACAATCCTGCAAAGTTGTATTTGAAGAAGAGAAAATATGACCTAAAATTTTCACGTAACATTTGTATTTGTACCATCAACTTGATTGTAAAAAAAAAAAAAAAAGTAAAAGTAGGCATATCTAGGAGTGAAACGATGCACTATCAGCACAAAGCCATTCCAAATACTCATTTATCCAGGCAGGTAACAACAAGCATTTTGCTTTACATGTCCAGAATCAATAAAATATTAAGGAAACAAACAAACAAAGACACTTCACTGAAACTGAAGTTCTACACTACTCATACATCTTTTTAAATTGCCCTCCTATCAGTGACGGTGCATGACCTTGGTTTCGTACTTTATAGTATTTGCAATCTCAAGAACAAAGCAAATATTTAAAGAGAAAAGCAGACGCAGCTCCCGGCTCTTGCAGTTCGGGAATCAGTTTTCTTAGGTACTTCCTCTCCTCTTCTTAGATAAGGAAACACAGGACAGGGGGGAACGGGGAGCAGACAGGAACTCTGCATCGCCCCAGGTTATTTTACATCACACGGAGCACAGAAACACGCAGCTTCCTCTCTAAAGGGCAGCGGGGCCACCTGGGAGCCCTTTGAGCACTGCCTGCGATGCCCCCAGCACAGGACCGAGGCTCAGGGCGCTGCCCCGCTTCCCCCCGCAGCCCCGCAGCACTCGGCTTCTTCCAGAGATTTGAGACTTCGACGTCACTTTGCTCCAAGTCTCCTCCTTCCCCACCGCTACGCTTAAAGCACTTTCAAAAGCTAAATAAACCGTCTAACAAATAAAGTTCTGCTTCCCTCCCTCTCTTTCGAGTCTGATTTTAGATATTTGCGACCTCCACACCCGAGGCAGCGTGCTTGGGAAGCGTGAAAGCGCCCACCGGCTGCCCGGGCCTCCCGTCCGCTCCTTTTCGGGCGATAACGCTGGAACGCAGCGGCGGCAGCGGCATCGTCCCGTCAGGAGCCCCGGCCCTCAGCACGGCTCCCCGCCCTTCGCCGCCGGGGCCGGACAGCCGGGACCGGGACCAACCCCAGCCCCGGCGGGGCCGCGGCCCAGCGCTCAGCAGGGCAGGCCCGGCACTCGGAGCCGCCCGAAGGCCGAGCCCGGCGATCTCCACAGCGAAGGGCGCGGGGCGGACGGCCGCCTCCCTCCCGCCCGCCCGCCCGCCCGCCGTGCCCCGCGCACAGCACTCACCCCCAGCAGACAAACTTTCAGCTCCCTCAGAGCCATGGCCGGGCGGGCTGCGCTTTCAACGAGCGCCAGAGACGCGGCCCAGAACGCTCATAGCCCTCCTCGCCGCACGCGCGAGGCCCGAGGGGCGCGGGCAGCCGAGCGCCGGGAGCTCCGCCGCCGCCTCCCGCTACCAACGCGTCTCCCTCCTCAGGCGCCGCGGACCCGACGCCATCTTGGGCGGCCGCCGGAGTCACCTGACCACACCCCCCAGCGCGGCACCGCCGCCCGCAGCTTTCCTCCCTCAGAGGAAGGGACGGCGGCCGTCGAGGGGCGATCCGCCCGCGGGGAGCGGCCGGCTGTTAAACCGGTCGCGTTTGGAGGCCGAACCGAGGGCAGGAAGTGCGGGCGGCTCCTCCCCGCGCCCTCCCGCTCCCGTCCTCCTCCTCCTCGCCCATGTCCGATCCAAGATGGCCGGTAAGTGGGCGCGGGCGGGGGGCGGCACCGGGCAGCGCCCCACGGACCGTCCTCGCCGCCGCCCCCCGAACCAACCCGCCGGTGTCTCTTTTGTTTTTGTTTGTAGGGATCCCTTTGTATTTTGTGGATTTGCAGGATGACTTAGATGATTGTGAGTAACTGTTTTTTATTTTTCTGCCTCCCTGCTCAGGCCCCCCCCCGCCCCGCGGCCCCGCTGTCGCGCTCTTTTCACCCCTCCGTTTTTACTCCCGGACGGCGTTCGGGCGCTCTGTCGGCTCGCCGGCCGCCCGTGGGGTCGCCGTGCTGGCGGGGCGGCCCGCATCGCTGCGCTGAGGGGCAGCGGGCCGGGACCGCCGAGCTGCGGGCCGGGGGGGGGACCGGGGGAGGCTTAAAGGATTGACTGTGCTGTTATCGTGGCTGAAAGTCGGCCGGGGCCGTCTGGGGGGATTTTTGCTGCTGTAATTCCAACGGGTGAGGCCTCTGAGGGCTTTGCTGAAGGTGCTGCGTTTTGCTTTTGGAGCATCGCCGAAGCGCAGACGTTACGGTGTGCGCTGCTGGAGCGGGGTGTGAAAGAAAATCCGCCTCGGGGCTGCGGTTGGCCGACACGAGCCCGTGTGTTTAGGTTAAGTGCCCTTCCTTGGGTGCCAGATGAGGTTGCAGCCCCCCGTCCGGCAGGTTAACCCGGAGTTGTGTCGTGGGGTCAGAGCTGGAGGAGAGTGAGGCGGCTGGGAGATGGCTGTGTATCAGGAGATAAGGCTTCAGCTGCTGCTGGTTTGAACTAGAAACCACTGGTGCATAGGGTGGTTGGGATGCTGGGTTGAGTTTTCCATTAAAAAAAATGAAAACGGATGCAGAATTTGTTTTGTTTGTGCACTGACTTGTTTAGCAGGTGAATGTTATTGTGTAATAGTGCTTGAAAACATACAACAGAAGGATAGTTACAGAATAACTTTTCCTCAAGCTTATCATTGCTGTTTAAACCTAGGGAGAAGGTGATTTTGAGGAACATCAGGAGAAACATTAGGGTACAGAACATTAAGTTCTTTACAGAGAGAGTGGTGAGGTGCTGGAACAGCTGCCCAGAGAGGCTGTGGATGCCCCATCCCTGGAGGTATTCAAGGCCAGGTTGGATGGGGCCCTGGGCAGCCTGGTCTGGTACTAAATGAGGAGGTTGGTGGCCCTGCGTGTGGCAGGGGGGTTGGAGATTCATGATCCTTGAGGTCCCTTCCAACCCTGGCCATTCTGTGGGTATTAAAAAGCCAAAGTGTCCCCTGGCAAGGTGTGCGGGGATGTGGCCTCAGCAGGCAGGGAGGGGGTCTTCCTATGGAACGTCATTAGCTGGTGCTGCTAACTGGTTTTGCTTTCAGTGCTTGAGGCTTCACCCTTTTGGTAGAAGGACAAAAAGTGTTCATTTGTATTTTGATAATATTTGGAAAATGTTGGAATTCTTTGAGATGAAAATAAATGGATAAATGGTGAGATTAACTGTATGCAAGATAACTTGTTTTGTTTGTATCTGTAAGTCTTTGAGTATTACAGAATGTCTTTTGATATTTGTGCAGAGACAAATTGTAACGGTTGAGTCTTACTGAATTGTAAACCATAATTAGAAATGAAGAAACCTTGGAGGATAATACTTGAAGTACATGGGTTTTTTAGTACGTAAGGATTTGAAGCCTTGTTAGCGCTATAAGGAGTTGCTTAAAAGTAGGTACTGAAGGTTGCTGCTTACTGTAGTCAGTAAATGAAAGAAGGCCACACCAAGACCTTAAGTAACAAAGCATGTGACTCTAGCAGCCAGAGAGCTGCAACAGCACCTTATTTAAGACTTGGAAATATTGTATTCTTTCTACTCTAATTAAAAAAAAAAAAAAAAGCAAACAAAAATCTTTTTCATAGTGCTAACAAATGCTTAGCTATGTGAATTGGTTAGATCTTTCTGAATTGTTCCCAGTTCCCTTTCTCTTTTTTTTTCCTCTGCAATTAAACAAAGATACTAGTGTGCCATCTGAGTTCTGTTTGCTGACCGTAAAGCACAAACAGCAGAAATAAGTGCAAATTTCTCATAGTGTTCTGTGGCTCTTGTCCCGCAGCTAGGTATTCATTCTCCATTAGTTTCCTTTATATATATATACTATCATAGGTGTTCTTCTGACAGGTGGGATAAGCTCAGATAGTTCAGTTGAGAGGGACCTGCAAAGACCATCAGATCCATCTGTCTGACCACCTGAGGGCTGACCAGAAGCTCTTGTTTATAGCTGAGCAGATTTCAAGTTTTTTTGTTTGTTATCACTGGAAAGAAAGTGCTGAATATTTCATCCATCTGTGAGCAAATATTATATACATTAGAAGTACCAGCTTATTATTCTTTTTCATTTATTTACTAGTACCCTGTACTCTAAAACTTGGAAGTATCTATAGCTGGTTACTTTATGGGGAAAAAAAATTGTGAGAGAAGTGGAAATGGGTTCTGCTGTAACTGCCTAACTTCGGTGTATTGAGAGTGTGTGCAAAAATTTCAAGTATTTAACTCTCTTCATCCTTAGTAAAAGTGGTTTACTCTGTTTTCCCTCAGGTCCTAGAAGCACTAATGTGTACTTAGCCAATTTAAATGAATAATAAAACTGTTTAACTAGTAAAACTAATCCTAGGTGTAGTGTTATGGTCAGGCTATTAATTGAGATTTGATTCACTTGACTTGGTGGGAATTCTACTCAAAATATACGAAGGGGCCAATAATAAGATGGGCTGCTGAGTGCATTCATTTTTTTGAGTTGTTTTGTAGTTCAGTAACAAGTGGAAACTGGATGAAGTTAATGGCAAGTGTGTTGGTTTTTTTTTTTTTTAATTGTTTGTTTGTGTTGTTTTCAGGCCTCAATGAATCCTTGCACAGCAGGTGGCTAGCCTCAAAAATCAGCTGGTGCAAGAGTGTCCAGTCTGTGTGTGCTTCCGATGTGTAATGCTGCCATTGTGTAGGCATGGGGATGGGCAGAAATTGGTTTATGAGATGGGGAAAGAGTTACAATCTCTAAAAGGAAATGTGCATCCTTACCTACAGCCTGTAGCTTCCTGCCAGCCCTCAGTCATACAGCGGGTTTGCTTTGAAGCAGGAAGTGCTGGGTACCTTCAGACATGCTTGGAGGTATCCCAACTCGTGGATAGACCAATCCCTATTAGCTCTGTGTAATGTAAACTATCTACGCTTGTGCAAATAAGTGATTTGAACCTGACAACTTCATGGTTGTTTAAGTGCTCTTAGAAATAATAGTGGCCCTTTGAATGAAACTAAGGATGCCATAAGAACGCATCAGAATGATTAGCACGTGCCTCTGGTCAGGTAGCTGTGGGTTCTCTTTTGTCTGTATGCATTTTAAGTGGGAACAATTGGTCTAAACCCGAAGTTGTCTACATTTTGAGCTCCGTTGAACTGTTGGTGGGAGCTCGTCTCCAAGAAGTAGAGTTGCTCTGTCTTATAATACAAGTAGGTTCTTTAGAAATGATGCTTTCAGAAATCCAGTCTGTGTTTGTTTAGTTCTTTTGTTCTTTTGTTCCCCAGAGGACTGCAGCATAATGCTTTGCCCTGAGTATGTCCAAATAATTTCTTTTTTTTTTTTTTTTTTAATGACCTGTATTTCTGTTGAGAATTTGAGAATGTTTTGGCTTCAGTTTGCGTCTGATACAAGCAAACCATTTCCTAGTTAAAGTAATGGATGTCTTCTGTGAGTTTGAAAGTACTGTCTTCTAAAGATTCAGTCCACTTAAGCATGTAAAGTGAAACCTGAGTATTAAATAATGGGAAATCGATCATATGTGTAAAATTGGACTTCTTCCTTGTAGGAAAAAAGCTGAGGCTTAGTACCTCTAAGTAACAGATTATTTGCAGATTATTTGTATACAAACAAATTCGTAGTGGATATTGATGCAGTTTAGAGCCAAAGTTCATCACACCTGGTCTCAGATTAAGGGTTTCTTTCGAGAAGTGTTGATGACAGAAAACTGGTGGTAAAGGATGGATAGAGTTGAAACTTAATTATCCTGATTAAGGTACAGCCACTTCAGTGCTGAAGAAGTTGTTGTGTTGGGGACCTTGTAATTATGTACATGCACCATTTAACCTCCTGGCAATTTGAGAGTGTATTACGAAATAATGACAACTTCTCTCTAGGGTGTGCAGAAGCTTTTTACAGTCTGGGATGATGCATTTGGAAATACTTCAGTTTTTTATTTAACCAGAATACTGAAGAGGGGGGTTACATAGGTCTTTACATGCATATCTATTAATCTTCTAAGTATGTCCTGTTCTTCCTATTTTTGTAAGCAGGAGAAATTGATGCTATAAATGAAACTGTATCTGGTTTGTTTATTTGTTTAGCCAATGCTTTGCTGTATTTTTTTGGTGGTACTTTTGGGGGTTGTTTTGGTTTTTTTTGTTAACTTCCCCTCCCTGCAGACAGGAGGTCTCTGCATATGGAGGCAGCCCGGAGTGCCTGGATTTTATTTTTATAGGCAGTTTCAAACACAGACCATTTGGCTCGTCATTGTGCTTACAAATTATTACCGGTTTTGTGTTTTCTTTACCAATGTAAATACCTAATATAATGTCCTGCCAAGTCAGGAACCGGCTTCTGTTTTACAGTGGTTGTCACTCCTAGCACATATGCTGATCTGAGACAGACTATTCCTTGCATCTGAGAAGCAGTACTGGCATGATTTGTGCTTAAGGAGTATCACATTTGCTGTTATTTGTGTGAACAAAGTCCGAATAATTCTGTGTGTGCTTTGCTGGGAAAGTTTTAAACTGAGAAATATCAGCTACTCCAGTGCAGTATTTTCTGCCGCTTTGATTGCTATATGTATTTCTATATGAAATGGGAGCAGCTCTGTAGTTAATAATGTCTGCAGTAAAAAGCCCCCTTACAAATGAGGTAAAGTTGGGATGTTTTCCAGGCTACCAGTGTGATTTAGATGAGTGAGAACCATGACTTCAATGAGAAGAATGAGCCTCGGTAGCTTTGAAGCAGGCAAGAGTTTGTGGGTTCAAAGCAATATGGTTTGGGATTTTGTCATTGCTAAAATTACTATTTCTTTTAGTGGGACTGATTCTTATTCTGAATTTGTCTGTTAGTTTGTGGCATGCAATTCTTTCACCTGAACCCTCTTTAACATGCATGTAGTTAGCTCACTCAAGTTGCAATGTAAAACATGTTCAAAGGAAAAGATATTATGACAGCTGAAATAGATTGCACTTCAAGGCTTGACTTTACAGTTCTGTACACAAGTGTTGCTCTTTACTTAATTAAGCACAACTTAGAGATTTTTGTAAGCAGTTTTCAGAGATACACAGTTTTGCTTTGAAGGATGGTTCTGAAAAAAGTATTGGTGTAGGATATTTTGTACTTCAGCATCGCTTGCTGACTTGTGTAATTTTTAAAATTGTTTTGTTTTGTTGTTCTGTTATACTTGTCTTTCAAGTTGGATTTGAAGATTATGGACCAGACTGTGATAGCATGAGGATAACAGCATTCTTAGACATTCCAGGACAGGATAATTTGACCCCACTGGCTCGTCTAGAAAAATATGCCTTCAGTGAAAATGTATTTAACAGGTAAGGGTTCAACAGTTCTGCTGGATGACAGTATGAGTCTGCTAGTGCTGTGGATGTCGGGGATCACTACTTCTTTCATTATTTTGCTAAATTGAACATTTGTTTGAAAAACAAGTTGTTATAAAATATTTTCCATAAAAAGTAGTTTAATTTGTTGGTCATTTAATAATGTCTTTGGACTCCATTTTGTTGGAGCCTGGCAAAATCATGTAACTTGTATGTCTGAAAGATCAGAGTAGATCTTGGTCTTGTTTTTTAAGGTGTCCATCTGATTTTGCTAAGATCCTCCCATGTTCCACCCATGTTGTTGACAAGATATTAAGGCAATTAATATGTTGTCTCTTCACAGGCAGATTATTGCCAGAGGTCTTTTGGATGTCTTTCGAGATTTCAGCAATAATGAGGAAGATTTTCTGACTGTAATGGAAATTGTGGTCAGGCTCTCTGAAGATGCAGGTTTGAATGTATTTATTTTAATTTTTGTAATTCTGGACCATGGTGATGTGTGTGAGGTTATTCTATTTATTTCCTTTAGAAACCAGCAATCTCAGTGGTAACATTTTGTATGTTTTGAGTCTTTTTATTTTTGTCCATTTTGTAAACGTTAAACCAAAATAAAATCCTACCTTTTTCTTATGGTTTTTAATTTTGAATTTACTGATTTAGTTTTTTCTTTTTTTTTAATTGGTAGAGCCGACTGTACGTACAGAGCTGATGGAACAAATACCTCCAATTGCCATTTTTCTGCAAGAAAGTCGACCAAAATTCCCAACAGCATTTTTTGAATACCTTATGCCCATAGTAGTGAGATATCTTACAGATGTGAACAATCAGGTAGGAAAAACAGGCTGCGTGAGTTAAATATCTGGAAATTCTGTTGTGGTTTGGTAATCCTGAAGCATGAGAAAAAAGACAATTCCCTGTTAATTGATATCTAGATTTTCTGTAGCACTTTGTATTTATTGATTGTGGCACAATTTACTATGGAAGTCTGAATATACATATTTTTTCCTACTTCCCTTATTGGGAACCTGTAGGATTTACCTCATGGCATATTGACATTGTGTTACTGGAGTTATGGCTTTCAAATCCTGACGTACACTTCATATTTTGGCTCTTTCTCATATTTTGATACAAGGGCATCTAACAATTAGATTAACATTTAATATTTATTACTAATTATTTATAGTGCTAAACTTTAAAAAAAAAAAGTCTAAGTTTTTGTTGTTTTTTTTTTTCCCTCTTTCTTCAACTTGTACCTTTGTATTCAATGGAAGTATACCTATTGTAGCTCTCACATCAGTAAATGTTGTTTTTACAGCTGTAGACTTTTGTTAACAGGTTAGAAAGGCAGGTCAAGAAGCGCTGCTCATACTTTTGGAACAAGATCTTGTTTCTCAGAGTGACATTGAAAACAAAGTGTGTCCAATTCTGTTGGACCTCTCTGCTCCTGACAGTGATGATGAGTATAAGGTGGAAGCTGTGAATGTGAGTGAACTTGAAAGAAAGCTTGTATATTTACCTTGTTAGGTTTTTTTAATTACTTTCTTTTTCTATTTTTTTAAATCAGTGTTGTTATAAAGCTCTTTTGGAATGTATTTGTGACAGCTTTTGTGCAGTACTTTAATAAGCCTAAGAGCTCTACAGTTATCGTGGAACCTAAACTTTCTGTACCATCACTATTTCAGTTTGTTATATTTCTCTGTTTATGATAATTTGCTCTGTTGCAAATCACAGAACTGCTGTAGTGATATAGTTGAAGCTGGAACCACAGCTTGTCTGTTAAGCTGTTAGATCTTGAATCTGTAAGTTTATTAGTTATTTGTAATGTTGAACACTGTTGCAAACACAAGTTCTCAAAGAATTTGGGCAAGATCAGGACTTGATACCTTATATTGAGAGATTAAAAAATGTAAGTAATTTTTAGGAGCAGTTTGGGACTTTGCTTACAAGCTTTCTAATTTTCTTGTCCTTCCTCATATTCTCTTCTTGATTTTAGATAATCTGTAAAATGGCTTCTATGCTGAGCAGAACAACAGTTGAGCACTTGCTACTTCCTCGTTTTTGTGAACTTTGTAGTGATGGGAAATTGTTTCAAGTCCGAAAGGTTGGTGTATTTTCAACTGAAAGAATTTGTGTATATGTAGTTATTCAGATGCCTACTTGAAGAATTAAATTATAACTTTTGCTGACGAAATTTGAAAGATACTTAGAAGAATATTTTCCAGTTTTTTGAATGGCTGTAGTTTCTGAAGTTCAGTAAAGAAATAGGTAACAGTCCTTTGGGAATAGCAAGTCTGGGACCATTTAATAGTTTTGTCACAACCAGTACTTAAACCACCATGGTCAGTCTTTCAAAACCAGAAATTCAGAAAGAGTAGGTATTTGAGACATTCATCCTTCTTTAAAACTTGATATTGAACAGAGAAGTCTCAGAAGTGGGATTTATTCTATGTCGTGATCAAGTAGAAAGGATATTCATGCAATGAAGTCTTAAAATAGTTCAGTATTTAAGGGTCACTTAGAACTTCAGTTTGGACCCTAATGTAAGCTGTGATTGTTGGAATGTGACCTGTGTTAGAGTATTATAATTCTGACTTACATTAAATAAGTCATACATTAATGCAGGCCCATGTTAATTGATTTTAGCTTTCAGCTACTTTTTGCATCGTGAATGAATGTCCTGTCCTGCCTTAATTATAGAATTTGTAATTTAATGCACTGTAAATGGCACTAACTTGAGACCTTGATTAAACTTTGCTTCAGCAAAGCGCTTAAGCCAGCAAAGATATTCTATCAGTACACCTAAGTCCTGACCCTCATATCATATTTTAGTCTGCTTTATTTTTGACAGCTGAAGTTCGAAGTTATTAAACTTGTTGGGCCCTTTTAATTATTACTGAAGCAGATGAAACTCTTCACAATGCAGAATACTTTTCACTATTGATTTCAAAGACATGTGGCTTACGGAAGCCTGCTCTATTGAGTCTTTATCTGGGGTGAGTTAATGTTACAGGATGTAGTTACATGGCTGAAATTTGAATAGTCAAATGTGCAGTTGTTACTGGGTGTAAGTGGTGAAGTTCATGATGAAACTAAAGCACTTGAAAAGTCCAGAATGTTGTTATTGACTTTTTTTTTCCTCAGATTTGTGCAGCTAATTTTGGTGACATTTGTAATGCAGTTGGGCAAGAAGCCACAGAAAGACTTCTGGTATGTTTGAAAAAATAAAAAAATAAAAGTCCAAATCCATTTACAACACATATATTTATCAGTTCAAAAAGTTTAATGATGAGGTTTTTTCCTGTAATCTATGTTGATGCATTTTTGAAATGGTTTTGTATAAGGCTTGATTGCAATTGTATATCAGAACTGGAATTGAGCAGAAATAAACAGCTTTTGTTTTTCAGAATGTTTTTTAATATAATTGATGGCTCGTATGTATACTTTCGAACTACTGACTCTTTTTCTTTTCCCTGAACTAGATGAACAATCAAGTTACAATTATAAATGGCTAACTTTTCCTGAAATTATATTTTCCAGTGCATGTAGTTATACATAAAGCCCTAATAAAAGTAAATGGGAAATATATATTAACTGAAGGAACAGGGAAAAACTACTTTTAACCTGTCCTCATTCACTCATTTGTTCTGTGAGTTTTCATTTTCTCCAGTTACAAAGAAATATATTGAAAGTAAGTTGCTGCAGTCTTTGCTTAGTCTTTAATTTGTCTTGGTTTTGCTTATTTTTGGCAGATTCCCAAGTTCTTTGAGCTTTGTTCTGATAGTGTTTGGGGCATGAGAAAAGCTTGTGCTGAATGCTTTATGGCAGTGTCTTACACCACATCCCCAGAGGTCCGCAGAAGCAAACTGTCCCCACTCTTCATCAGTCTTATTAGTGACACTTGTAGATGGGTAAGTAACTCACTTTGTCACTGGTGCATCTCCCAGGCAGATCGTACACAAACAATGAGTAAGTCAGAGGCACACTGTAAGTTCACACCGAATTTGCTGGGATTAAACTCTAATCTAGTAAAATTTAAGCTTCTCTAAAAAGATTTTTAACTTGCTTTACCTCTCTTTTGTTACTGTGAAAGAAAATTAATAGAAATTCTAAGTGTAGTCTTCAGATAAAAATTGCTTTTGTTAAATGTATTCATTGAAGTCTGCACTGAGACCCTTACCATGTTTGTAGATGCACATTTAATATTCCAACATTCTTTTTATAGATGCCACTTATTTGTTAATTGGTTATTTTTGGTATAAAATGAAGCTGTTATAGTAAGAAAAAACTTGAAACCTAATTTTATTTTAAGCATTAGCTCTACAGGAGTTGCATGAATCCTGAATGTTGTCTTTGTCCTACACCAGGTTCGTCAGGCAGCTTTTCAGTCTCTTGGCCCTTTTATTTCTACTTTCGCAAATCCGTCAAGTGCTGGACTCTACATTCGAGAAGATGGGACACTGAGTATCCGACCATCAGCACAAGATATAAATTCCAATTCCTGCCATCCAAGCAACAATGTAACTGTAATTGCTTCTACTGCAAATGCTGCATCATGCAGGTAAAATCATGGGAAATATGCCCTGTAGGGGAAGGGAGAAATAAGAAGGTAATTCTTTTAGTTGTTGCTTGGGGTAAAAATCGTGAAAATAGTTCCAGGAAAGGTATGAAATACAAAGTTGTGCATGTATGTTTGAGTATGCTTATTAACGTGTAATTGATTTTTATGGCTTCAAAGGAAGACAAAGGGAAAACTGGTGAAATAAAGCATTATACTAACATACTTTCTGTCTTTCTGCAGAGAAAATAAGCTTCTGTAGTTGAAACTATTTTTCTGAAGTATTTCACTGAGGAATTATTGTTATAGATATTTTATATGGATAACTGTGTTTGTTATCAGTTCGGAACAACCAATGGAAATCAAATCAGAGTCATCAACTGAGGAGACTTCAGCTGAAGTTAACGTGCCACTCTCCATTGAGAACCTCAACAGAGACACGTGGGAAGCAAGTTCAGATTGCTGTATGAGTTCTGGAGAAGATCTGTCTAGATTGTCTCAAGATGATGGAGTTGTTGCTGGTGTGGTAGAAGTCGCTAAGGACATCAGTTTTCCAGGAGTTACCTCAAGGCTACAGTGTTCTGAGGATGTATTTAATACTTTTCTCTACTGGCGGCCTCCACTGCCTGATATAAGTCAGGAGCTGGAGTTGCTTCAGTTCAAGACTGAGAAGCACAAAGACAGCTGCTCAGTGCCGTGCAATAACTGCGTTGCTAGTAGTGAAATAAAAAAAGTTCTGGAAAGCTTACAGGAGCACATAGATGATCCAGATGTTCAAGGTGAGACTAAAAAAGAAAATAACATTCTTTCCCAGTAGATCCTCACCTTTACAAAAATCCTTGGCTAATTTTGGTGGTGATGACAGGTTGGTTGTCCTTAATCAATCAAGTTTCTCATTCCACTGAATCTCTTGAGTATTGCAGTGAATTAGCTCGTAAATATGCCTGTTATCAATTCTACTGTTTCCCTAATTTCCAAAGTATTCCAGTATTCTTCACTTTTAAGTTATCCTCTGTTGTGTCTTGAGACTGCTTGCTGTAAGCATGTGGAAATATAGCTACTGCAGTTTTTTGCATTACGAACAATTAGTAACTTCCTGTTCATAGAAGCGGTGCACTGTAACGGTACAGTTTGTCCACTTTAACTGGTGATACTGGTCAGTGGTAAACCTGACCTTTTATTTTCCATCTACTTCTGCTAACCAGTTTAGAAGTGGTTTTCTAATTTCCTTCCCTAGCTAGAATTTTTTAATAATATTTTAAATGCGTATTTGGCTGCCTGGAAAAGGCATTAAAAATTCAAGAATATTAAAAAAGAATTTGTATTAATATGTTTGATGTGGTAAGGAATGGAATGTGAGCTGGTATGCTGTGATACTTCATGAGAGATTTTCAGAAATATCTTTCAATACTAGAAATTAGTAGATGTTTCTGTTGAAAACATAAATTAAGAGCAACAATTTGGATGTATTAAAGTGAAGGTTTTGTGGAAGAGTAATAGGCCTTTCAAATATCAAGTGTTTGCATATTGTTTATGTGAAGCTTAGTTTGGACTTCTTTTTATTCCTTTAGATTAAGTAATTACAAGTTTAATTCTTTTAAGTGCAGAAAAGAGACTAAATGGTCTCTCTTGCTTTATACAGCTCAGGTCCAAGTGTTGTCTGCTGCTCTCAGAGCTGCTCAGTTTGATTCTGTTGGGGATTGTGAGACCAGAAAAATGGAAGAGAACAGTGGTGAACTTCAGAACCAAACCATTTCAGATCAAACAGTTGTTTCAGATACAACCTGCAACCAGGTGGTGGAAGACAGTCTTTCATCCTCTGTGTCCCAAGATAGCATCAGTGAGCAGCCCACTACCAGTGTAGTGAAAAGCACAGTAAGTATCTATTGTGCTCTGTGGCTGATAGGAATTCTTATCAGCTGAAGTAGTGTTTTTATGTAAACAGTAACATCAACCCAATTCTGGCCTATAGGCCCTCAAGTATTGCTACTTAATTTAAAACCAAAATAAAACTATTGAGGGTTATTATTTCTGCGTACTCACAGAGAACCTGGGAGGTAAAATTTTGTGGTAGCCCTGAAGGAGTTTTCATATGAAACATATCAAACACAAATCTCACTTCTTCATGCAATAAATTTAAAATTAGTCTTTTTATCTTCATACAGAAAGCTGAAGTAGGTGTGACATCTACACAGTTCCTGGTTACAATTTCTTGATCATAATGTACACATTGCAGAATTATTTGTGCCTTAATAGGCACAAATATTATATTCTATATTATTCTTATATCATATATATATATATATTTCTGATAATAATTTTGAATAAAAGAAAAGGAAAAAAAAATTAGCTTCGTTTATGAACAAAAACTGTACTTAAATCTGTTCGAACAAAATTGTAGAAACAAAAACTTTAAAAGACCAACACCCAAACTGTGTGATCTTTTAGACTCCCTATGGTTTTAGCTTTTTAAACCTTTTAATTCAGTTTTCATATTTGGAGAGAGATGTGTGATTTATGTATTTATTTTTTTTTTCCCAAAGGAAGTTACGCATTTATCATATTGATTTAGTTGAAGCAGCTGCTCAACTGTTTAATTTCAGTCCAAGAATAAAAAATGTAGTAAAAATAGCCATTCAAACTCTGAATGAATGTTAGTTTATTGCATTAAAATACCTTTGTTTTTATAAGCAAATCTAACTACCATTCCCCTTTTTGTTATTGCAGTCTTAATAGTGTTTGTCTTTAGTATTCAGCTGTTAGATAACTTGTACAAACATTGAGCAAGGCTTTGCATGTACAAAGTTTTGTTTATAAAGGGCTCTTTTGTATCTGAATTGCATTGTTCTTAGTGTGATGCTTTGAAATATTGCAAATAGTGCTAAGTCTGTCTGATTTCATTAGCTAGTGTGTCCTTCTGCAGGACTCAGAACAACACAGAGGAACAAGTGTATTCTTAAAGAAAGAACAGGAAAATCATCCACCATTTGAAGATGACAAGTCAAAGTTACAGGTAACTAAAATAACACCTGCTTTAGCTGAATACTAAATACAGTTCATCTTATCCTTAATACAGTGTTAGCTTTTGCAGTTGATCAGTTGTAGAATGTGAAGAAATGCTCCGAACATTTAAGGAGAAGTTTATTTTAAATTTGAAAACTAGAAAAATTGTTTCTCGTAAACAAGCTTAAGTGCTGCCTACTACATAGAGGAATCCTAACAAAGGTAGGAGTTGACTATACTTTTCACTGGATTTATTGTTTGTCTTCAGTGAAGAATGCATTTTCAGTTTGATTTAATGTAGTAGGTTGATAAAGTAATATTTACTGTTCATTACTGAATGGTGTATCTTAATGGGAAGACAAATTCATCATTTACAGCGAAGCTGACTCGCAAAACAGAGTTGCTGTTGTTTTAATTTAGATGCCAACTAATTAGTAGCATCTAAGAAAATACTGTAGCACAACAGGAATGTTTTCTTACTGATTTTTAAATTAAAGGAAAATGTGTGTTTCTCATGTGCTCTCTCGCATTACAGGATATCATACCTCAACCTTTACTTGACCAGTACTTGTCCATGACTGACCCTGCTCGAGCCCAGACGGTTGATACTGAAATAGCCAAGCACTGTGCTTACAGTCTTCCTGGAGTGGCCTTAACGCTGGGTAGGCAAAACTGGCACTGCTTGAAAGATACCTATGAGACACTGGCCTCAGATGTACAGGTAAAAAACAAATCAAATAATACAACCAAGCAAAACCAAACAAATGAAAAGGTCTTCTCCAACCAGAGTTTTGAGTAGCTTTTTTGTTCGTTTACTGCACTGAAGTTATAATAGTTATAATAGACTTTCTTGTAAGTGATTAAATGTAGACTGAAAAAAAAAATCAGAATTTAAATCAGTCCATAAATGTAATTGACACTTCCTACTGCTTTGTAGCTTGCTTCATTTGTTCTGCTCTCTCAATCCCTCACATAAGTGTATTTGAAAGTTTTGTTTAGTTTTCTGATGATTGTGCCTAATCTATACCGATTCTTAAACTGTTTGCAGTGGAAAGTACGTCGAACATTGGCTTTCTCTATACATGAACTGGCAGTTATTCTGGGGGATCAGCTAACAGCTGCTGATCTGGTGCCAATTTTCAATGGTTTCCTGAAAGATCTAGATGAAGTGCGCATTGGTGTCCTTAAACATCTCTATGATTTTCTAAAGGTAGGAAAGCATAAAAGCTAATGTAATTTCTCAAGAAACTATAATTGAGTAAAAAAAAAAAGTGTTTTAGTTAGAGATACAGACATCAATATCTAATTGTAAAGCTAAGTTTTGTACTATACTGCCATTTCTCTCTTATAACCCAATAAAATATAAAAATTGAAAACTCTTCTGTAAACATGGTTGTAAAAGCTCCTGATACAGAGAAAGAATTAGTACTTTGAGAGAAGGGAGCAAATTCTTGTGGTCTGCTGCATAATAAGCAAAAATCTGTAGTTTTTGGTTGGTAATTGTTACGCGTAGAAATGGTGCTTTGTCAGATATGTCAGATATCCTTGCAGAAGGGAAGACTTGCATGTTTTTTTGTTTGTTTGTTTGTTTGTTTGTTTGTTTTGGATGTCATTGTCTGGCCTGTCCAGGTAGTTGGCTGGTTATGCACAATTTTCAGTAAATACCTTTTGGATAGCCTTGCTTTCAAGTGGGAAAAGATGCACAGATGTTAATAGAGAAATTCAGCAGTGTTCTTAACTTGAGTAGTTTCATGGTAGTATTGCTTTTCTTTCAGTTACTTCATGCGGACAAAAGACGAGAATATCTTTACCAACTTCAAGAATTTGTGGTGACTGATAACAGCAGGAACTGGAGGTTTCGTTACGAGTTGGCAGAGTATGGGAACTTTCAATGTACATTACTAACTTGGAAATAGATTATTATGTTAAGGAGTTAGTGGATAGTAATCCTAACTAGCATTTTTTTCTTACTTTCTTAAATGCACATTGTGTTGTAATCAAGCATGATAGAAGCTTGAATACCTGTCACGTATCAAAGTGGAGATCTGACTTGCATGTAGCTTTTGAAATAAGACAATCTGATAGGTGCTATTCATTGAGGTTTCAGATTTTACTCAGTTCTGGTTGGACTGTAAAGTTAAGGAAATGTGTTAGAAAAATGATTCTGTATGTTCGCTATCCTGCAGATTTATAACTTTTTCTTACAAACATTCATTTGGTATTTGGGGATATAGTTGAGATAGTGGCATCTCCCAGTTCTTTGGTTCTTTTTCTTGCAAACCTTATTGATAATTGATGTATCCAAAGAATGTTTGTAAACACTGTTTGCAGCTGGAAACTGGTCTTTCTATTTATCTCACTGCTTTGTGATATTGAGGATGTAATCTCCCTTTGTAGTTTAACTTAAGAAACTAAATCTCACTGTGATGCAGCTCTGTTGTACAGCAGTCCTCTGACACCTAGTGGAGACTGCTGTTACTTTGTGGTTGATTTGTTGATGACTGCAGAAATGTAGTTGGCGTGACTAAAGTGAGCTCTGTGCAGTTCCCTAGATTTAAATAATTATCTGAAATATAGCCTTAATTTTCAGTAGAAATCTGTCTTTTTTACTTTGCAGTAAGGTAGTTAATACTGGTCTGAAGTTGCAAAGAAACTTCTCATTCTACTTCCGTTTGTAGTTTTTGTTACTTTGTTAAGATCTGTTCAGGTGCTTCATAATAACCATGGTGATTTCAAGGCTTCAAGTGATTCTTCCTTACCTGTAACAGTCGGTGTTGAAGCAGGTTAGTTGTGCACTTGTGTGATTCAATTGCTTCTTTGTTTCAGGCAGCTAATCCTGATACTGGAACTCTACAATCCCAATGATGTCTATGACTACTTAAGACATATTGCACTAACTCTCTGCTCTGATAAAGTTTCAGAAGTTCGGTGGATCTCCTTCAAACTGGTTAGTTTTTGTTTATCTTAATTTATGCTTTCTCTGCACAAGTCTTTTCTCCAGAATAAATGTAATAATTTATTAAATTCTGTAAGCAGAGCTGATTATGCTGTATATGCTTGTTTTCTCTTCATAAGATTCAAACACAACAATCTCCTTTTCCTGAGGGCTACAACATGTTTCATTTCTTTTTTTCCATCTCCTCCCCTTCTTTTGCTTCACAGGTTGTAGCAATACTGCAGAAGTTCTATGCAAACAATGCAGGTGCACTGGGATTAAATTTCATTAATGAACTCGTAGTGAGGTTTCGCCACTGCTCCAAGTGGGTTGGAAGACAAGCTTTTGCCTTCATTTGTCAGGTTGGAATTTTCATTCTGTGTGGTTATATGTAAATTAAATTTGGAGCCAGTTTGAGGATTTCCAATAATGTAGTCAAAGCTGAAATCTGGAATCCAAATTTTTTAAAAATTCTGTAAATTAGTCTGGCCTTGGCAATAGTGAATGGCTGTTCAGTTTTGAAACTATTGCCTCTTTTGTGCTATGCCTTCTGCTGGAAAAACTGATCCTTGTCTTTTCTGGCATCCTTGCAGCCAAAATGGCAAATAAATCCTAGTGCGATAAATATTTTGTAATACCTACTTTGACTTTGCTTGGACTAGAGCTTATGTGGACTTTTTTGAATGTTCAGGCAAAATTAAGGGCAAGATAGGAAAGAATGACAAAAACAGTCTTTTTAACACAGCTCTTGCTCTTGTTTTTTGCTTTTATCTTGTAGGCTGTGGTAGAAGAAGAATGTATGCCTGTTGATCAGTTTGTTGAACACTTACTGCCCAGTCTTTTAAGTCTTGCTTCAGATCCTGTGCCAAATGTAAGGGTTCTGCTCGCCAAGGCTCTAAGGCAGACGTTATTGGAGAAAGGTAGGGTCACTAACTTCCTCTGAAAGGACCAATGTCTCATGAATGTTGTTCTTCATCTGCCAGTGCAGTTACTCATAAGTTGGTTAGCTTGACTGGTAAAAACTTGTTTAGTTCTGTTTATACTGAAAGCACAGTTATACATTGTAATCTGGGATATTCCATTTAAATCTATATTCCTAAATCTGAATTTACACATGTATAACACAGTGACTTCTTTGACTTGGAGTGATTGTTCATCATCATCATCATCCATAAAGGGCTGTAAATTGGCATGGATAATATATCAAATGCAGTACTTCATCCACTAGGGGGCAGTTACGTACTTGCTTATAGCAGGAAGTAATGCTATTATTCCCTGTTACTGCATGTATTGATTTTTGGTATCTATAATACTTATGGCAAATACATTTTTTATTTCAAAATTTAAAACATCGTCATAGGTACTCTTGCTTTATTTCATACATTTATTTTGAATTAAGTATATTTTCATTTGATACTTCAAGTGAAGCTTTGTACCTCTTCCTGAAACATTTTGCTTTGTTGTTTTTTGTTTGTTTTTTTTTTGTTTTTGCCTCAAGGTAACAATTGTAGTTACAATTGTAGTTAACAAATGTCATTTGCTGTCATTTTGATTTCCCCTATTATCATTCCTTAGAAAACAAGAAAAGACTGATCTCTGGTTAATCAAAGGAAGGCACAGAGATTTACTCTGTTTTGTCAGTTAAAGTTATGGAGAGTGTTTTCTGAAACACTGTATCGCTGCAGCTTCCTGATCCTCTTTCTATTTGCTGATATGCTGCCATTTAGGAACTAGAAATACTTCCTGTACCTAGTAAGATAAATAAGAAGCTGCATATTTTTATCAGTTTCCTTAGCTTGCTGTAATGTTTCCACAGAGTCTATAAATGACATGATATACCCCATATATTTTCCACTTCCTCTGTATTTCTGTGCTGTGTATGCCCTGTGGTTTAAAAGGTTTTTTTTGGCTTTGATTAAAATTCTCATTTTCTTCCTTATTGTAGCTTATTTTAAGAGTGTTGGCAATCCTCATCTGGAAGCTGCGGAGGAGACAATTCTAGCTTTGCAGTCTGACAGAGATCAAGATGTGTCCTTCTTCGCTACCATAAAACTAAGGCAAAACAACATGGACAGTTCTACTGAAAAACAAAACTAGTATGTTCTTCTCCAGTAAGCTCTGAACATCAAAATTATTATTTGCACAGCATTCATGGGTAGTATGAATAAGGTGGACAAACAAAAACTACTCCTTGCCTTCCTGAGTTAAAAAGGGCCTACTTAGAATTGCCGTCATCTTCATTCCTTTCCATCTACAACTGTTTTTCTACTTTTGTTTTTGAGCAATTGATTTTTGGATTTTTTTCTTCATAAATGTGGCTGGTAACTGCAGGCTAGATCACATTTTGGTGTCGTAAGTTCTTACATGTAGTTTATGTTTTCAATAATTGGAAATCCCATTTCTTTTTTTAACAAAACAGTTCCAGTAGTAGTTTGTTTGCCATAAGCTTGGAATATTTTCTAAATCTTGCAACTTCATTATAGCAAATTGACCTGAAGATGATATTTTCTCAGTTTTATTGTAGCTTTTGTATTGTTTCAAGTATTGCATTTTATTTTGACTGGAGGAATTGTATATATGTGAATAGCTGTTAAATTTTAACAAAAAAGGATGAAGAATTTAATTCTGTATCAGTGGAAAAAAGCTCAATCATTTCATTTTATAACGTAGTTATTCTGCTGGAGGTAAAGCACGGTTCATTTTTACTTAATATAATGTAATATTTTTCAAAGCACAGAGCTCTGACTTTTTTTTTTGTGACTTTTCTGTTACTTTATTACTAAACTATACTCTTACAGGTGTTAAAACTGCTTCTGTTACTGCTGGTGCTTGTAGCTGTAGAGAGACTGTTAATTTCTCAAACTGAAAATTACTTATTCTATCCTAGTGAAGTTTCCTTCAACTAAAGGATTCAGTTCTTACTACATGTGTAGTATCTTTAGAAGGATATTACAGAACTTTATAGACTTAAGAAGCTCTTTTACAGGTCTATTTCATGCCCACTTCATTTGAAAAGCACTGTTAAGTGGGCCAACATTCAGATCCCCATCAGCCTGTTACTTTTTTCATAAGATGTAAGGGACATCTAAGTTTTAGAGAAACTCCAAATAGTAAGTGTTCAGGGTAAAGGTGCTAATTCAGTTTGCTCTAAAACTTTTGTTTATTATATGGTAAGTGTAGAGGCAGACAGCAGGTATAGGCTACTGAGATCCTTAAGTTTGAGCAGGATGTGCCTTTTGTTGATTTAGACAGGTGCTTCAGAAGACAGTATACAGATGGAACAAAATTCCATCAATCTGATAGCTTCTGATTAGTTTGCAGAATTATAAAGCTAGTAATTCTTGGTGGATGCTGTCTTCTGTTATGCTCCAAACCGACATTACCCCCGTAAGGCCTGAAGCAAAAAGGGGCTCTTTTTTTTTGGTTTGGTAGTTTGTCCTATTCAAGAAGAAGTAGTTCTCAATACTAGAAAAATGGTTTCATGTAATAAGTTATTTTGTGTATCCATTAATTTGTTGTCAGTAGACCTGTGGAGATATTTCTGTCCTCTTGTTTCACTTCTTTAAATTATTTTTTAAGATGTGGCATGTTTGAGATACAGAGTCCAGCTGAGGAACCTACTTGCTGTATTTTTTAAGGGTACAGTTTTGTATAAGTTTGTCTAACTAGTCTTGTATTATAATGTACAGTATTTGTAATAAGTTGTTTTCTTGTGAGTTCACAATACTTTTGGAAAATTAAGGCAGAAATGCACCATTGCCATCACTGCTCTTACAGAAACAGCATAAACTGTAAATTCTGCAACATTCTACATTTAATTTTTTACAATTTTTTAAAATAATTTTAACTGGTTCTACGGACTTTTTATGATTGCAATTTCTTAACAAAGATTATTCAAGTTAATTTTTTCTAGTTCTAATATCTTTTTCTAATGCTGGCATTATATTGATGTTTTATAACAGTTCAAATTTTCTAAGGCCTTTCTGGTAAGGTTTTACTTCTGTTTTTCTATTATCAGCTCACTAAATTTCTCAGCACTGATCAAAATTTTTGTGTGTATATGTAAGTATGTTTGTAATGTACATGAAGTTGAGCATTGACACAGCCCAGGTTTCTGTTTGTTAGATAATGTTTTGTCACCTTGCAATAATCCACTGAAAAACACACAAGCTTTCATGTTTTGGCATGTTTGGTTAGTGTTCATTAAGAATTTTTAGTTAGAATATATATAAACAATAAGCCACCATCTGTAGAAGTTCACTAAAAACTAAATACAGATCTTTGTTTTTGACAGTATTTAATATCTCTCTAGCTCTGGAAATCGCATCTGTTCCAAATGATAAGATTTCATTTGGAGCATTTAAAAATTTGTTTAAACTCTACAGTTGCATGCACTAATGGAGGACACCACAGCTTTTGGGTATGTCTTTTTTTTCTTTTTGTATGACAAAACAATGTGCAGGTCTGTTAATGCAGGTTTACCCTTTACAAGGTTTGCCTTTTTGTTGTAATTTTCTACTAGCGATGATTTCAGCATTACTAAAGACCGCACTTTACATCTTGTTCTAGACAAATGTATACAGTGATGAGTAAAGCTGTGTGTTAACATACAATTCTCTGGGTTTAAATTATGCAAAAAAAAGTATGTATTTTAAAAGCCAGATGAAACAGAGTTAGTTGATCCACTTCCACAAAAACAGTAAGAATATCACTTTAAAGCATTTCTAGCTAAGGAACATGAAAATAATGTTAGTGGGTGCAATATTGCTTGACTGTTACAGGAAATTATCAAGCACTTGTAATCCAGAGCATGTTAGTCATGTTGCTTGGAATTCAAACTCACTGGTATCTTATGTATGATGTACACTTGGCATCTGTGGGGATGCTGCCCTAGTGGCAGTTGTGACTGTACACAGTGTTGTTTAGAACCCAGTTAAATGGAGACACTCTGGCAGTGTCATTCATTTGTCAGAATAGAGAATCTATGTAACTTTCTATTTGTATTTATCTCAATAAAATCTGTGACTGTTTTATAAATCAACTTGTGACTGACTTTTGTCATTAGTGGGATAAGAATGTATTCTTTTGGTTACTGAAACATCTCCCTATCATAAGTACAGTCATCTCTTTAAACCAGTGTCTTTTGGAATTCATCATGATGTGTAATAAAAAATCCATTTTTGGATTTGAAGTAGCTTTCAGCACTTATTCCTCAAAGCAAGCATGCCAGCAGTACTTTGAAACTTAGATTCTGTCAGAACTGAAGCTCTACAAGATACATTTTAAGTGGAAAAGGCTTGTGGATGTGTTGGGTGAGGGTGGCATTCAGATCTTTATATTAAATCCTTCCAAACTTTAGTTAGGAGCAACATTCTGGACTTCTTTTCAGAGTGATGTTGCTCTCAGACATCCTGCATAAATGAATGATTATGAAGCTTTTAGACTTTGAGGAGGGAATGAGTAATCAACACCTGGCTGGTTGGATTTGCTGCTCATATCAGGAGTCTTCTGTATGTTCTGCTGCTGCAGCCATCCTTTTGTTTGCTTCAGACATTGGCTGTTCCATCTCTTGCTCTAGAGCTTTTGCCAACTCTTGCAAAAGAATATATGATCTCTCCCGTTTTTTTTTTCTCTGCAAGATTTAATTTGGTGTAAAAATGAAGAGAATAAGCAGCCCCTTGCACCTCCTGGTAAAGCGTTTCCTCACTTTGTGTAAAGACAGGAGCAGCCTGTGTAGTAAAAGTGGAAACACAAATGGAACAGCCGTGTGCTCTTTTTAGGACACATCAAGTCAATGTGTGTATTGTGACCCGAACTCAAACAAAGAAAACAGGAATGTGAAATATGGGTGGCTTACATGTGTACTTTAGTAATTACTTTGTTTCTTTACTGCTTGTCTTCCAAGTAAGTTTGTCATCCTAGTGAAAATCAAGAGGAAGAAATCTTTGTTACCATCTTGGTGCGTTGCTTTCTGTAAAGTTCTCTTGCTTTGTTCATACAGGCTGTTACATCACACAAGCAGGTTGTACTTTTGTGATGTCAGTTTATGCTGCATGGATACTGTAACATGCTAGTGATATATAGGGCTGTCTATCCTTAGTGACATCTATCCTGATGACAGGGGGAGTGTCAAGGGAAGGGAGGAATTAGGGCTGGTATTAGGCCCCTGTCCTTATAATGGTACCAACCTTTGTTAAGAGGAAAGCCTCAGGCTTTCCCAGTCAGTAACAACTGCATGCCTGGGTCTTCCTCGCCTCTGCAGACCTTTAGCTTGCAGCTCAGGCTAGCTGAAACTAATGAGATATTTTCACTACCTCAATGCCAGAATGACTTCACTCTGAAGCAGCTTAAGTCTGATTTAGAATTATTGACTGGGATCCCCTTTCATTTCCAGCGGCTTCACTACCTGGATGAAAGTAAGAACCTGTAACCTTTGTTGTTCTTGAAGGTTATTGATAGGTTATTGTTCACTCACCATCTATTTATTATAGTTTACATTTGTTTATAATCTCTGAGGGTACGGTGACTTGCTTTTATTTTATAACTCCCTTCAGTGGATCTGCCAGACGATTCTACGCTTATGGACAATGATGTTGTCCCTGGTGGAACGATTACAATGCGCATCTGGAGACAAGATGGCTGGGGGCATCTCGTGGCAGCTGCTGCGAAAGGACACACAATGAAGGTTGATTCCATTGCTTCTATGAATGGGTGGGGTGCTGTCTGTAGAAATGTTGGAAGTGTGTTGCTGAAGATCATAAATGCTTTTATCAAGCAAGAGTTTATAGAGAAAAGAGTGGGGAAGTCCTTAACGGAAGAGACAATTGTAAAGTAGGTTAATTGTATTCCCTGCAACAGTTAATGGTGAAAACTGTAATTTGGATGGGGCTGGCAATCCAAAAACAAGAGGAGAAGTCAATTCTTAATGCAGGCTGTTCCGTTCAGAAATGTCTTTTTGCTGTTATTAGTGGACAGCATCTACAGTTGAAGCCCAGTTTTTTCTGTCTTGGGACTTTTTGTAGGACTGATGTGAGTATATTCATGGTTTGCTTTTCTTGTTCCTGCTACCTGAAAAATGTTGGGATTTCTTGTTGAGGTGCCTGTTCTTTTATTCTTTTGATGTGTTCTATACAAAAGATACTTAATTCTAGTACTTTTCACACAGGTAAGAGAGATGATGCGTAGTATGCAGTAAAGCCCTTTCCTTAGATACCTTAAACAATCATTAGCTTTGGATTATTTCTTTTTAGGCATTCAAAGTCAGGGTCTGAGTGACTTTCTTTGTATTACAAAATTGAGGCAGAAACTCTTTCTTAATCCATCCTTCTCTGGCAATACTGACCACGGAGGAAGAATGGGAACTGATGCTCTTTCAAAGCGTATAACAGATTCAAAATCAAGGATCAAAAAACATTTTGCATCCCTTTCACTTTACCTTCTGAAAGCTTACAGATTGTCTTCAGTTTGCAATGCTGTCAAGCCTGATTAGTAAGATAGCTTTAATTTTTTTTGTGGAACAAATAGTTTCATGGCTCTCTGATAGAAGACATGCTGCTTTCTTGATTTAGAACTGAAGTGTTGTCTCAGCAGAAATGCGAGGTACTCTGGTATGTACTGTAAACCTTTAGGCCCAAACAGATGTGATCATGAAATATCCTTTGGTGCCTTTCATAAAGAACCATTATCACTGTTGTCCTGGCCAAATTCCAACTTGGCTAATTATATTCTGTTCCTCTGTATTTCCCCAACCATTGCCAATTGATACTGCAGGATTCTTCACTTGCTGTCATTAATTGTTGTGTAGTGTTGCACTTCATTGGTAAGCAGCTGTTCTACTTCATGCCACAAACTGTTTCCATTTTGCCATTGGGCAAAGTGTTTTTTTCTACATGTTTTAAGTTCCTTGTGTATTAGAATCTTCCCTCTCAGTGTGATGTTCCAAAGGCAGTGGTCTCCTTTGAAATGAAAGATGTATTAAGAGCCCCACAAGAAAATTGTTGAGACTCTTGACTCTCAAATATATTTAGCAAAAAAAATCCTCAAAGAAATAACTGCGCAGCTGCTCTATTAATGTGCTTCCTCTTACTGGGTAAGAAGGCCAAATGATGCAGTGTTAAAGATTTAGTCCAGCTTGGAAGTGGAGTTCGAGAATAACAGCAGTATGAGGCACCTGAAAATTGTTCTTAAAAGGCCTTTTGGCTATGTTTGGCTTATTGTCAAAAAATCCCGCAGACCACCTTATGGAAAGGAAATGATACAAAACTGTATCCTGAAGCAGCTAACGTTTATGAGTTGTCTATAACAATTAAGGCCTAAAGTCTTAATTAGATCCTAAGGAAGTTGTGCTTACATGGCGAGTGTCTCCTGTCTTTGTTGTCTTCCCCCAAAAACTTAGAGCCTGCTCAGTCTGCAGTGAGCTTCTTAAAGATTTTGTGAAGCTTGGTAACTACATGCAAAAAGAAAATCTAACTTAATGTTCCCTTTAAGGGATGGCTATGAAAAAATGTCATTAAGTACTGGCAAATCAAGATAGGGCAGCGCAACATAAAACAAGCGTGTGCTGTTTAGCTTAACTTAGAGCATACTGCATAAATCATTCTACATGCAGATAGGAGACTGTTGATATTTTTAAAGAATAAAGCCATCTTTATGAAAGAGACTAAAAGGTTTCTGTTTATTCTGCAGCTGGCCCAGCTGGGAGTTACAGAAGAGTATGCTGGCACTTCTCCATATGCAAAGATTCTGGGACCAGAGCAGAAAAAGGAGTGGGTAGCGCACCGTGCTTTTGTGGCTCTGTTTGTTGCCAGCCACAGAGGTCACGTTAATACTGTGAAGTTTCTCCTGAGTCATGGTAATGTTATTAGATAGAATTATTTTCTGGCTGTTTCTGCATATTATACCATCTTCCTGCTTACCAAGTTACAGAATTTTACCTGAACTCTCTCTCAACTTTTGTATTTGAGGTGGAGAATGCATTTGGCCCATCAGTTCTGATGTAGACTTGAAAACAATCAAAACTGCTCTTGCTAATTGTAACAAGTTTGATATTAAAGTGGGTAAACTCAGAATGGAAAACAGGAATGAGAATTTTTTACTTCCTTGCTTTTGAGCCTCAGTTATTTCTTGCTATTTTCTTGTTATCTAAAGATGTTTGGTTTTTATTGGTCTTGTGCAGTGCTTTACAGTCAAGCAGTACAAGCAGAGTTGCAAGTTCTGCTTCCATGGCTCTGACATTTGGGCTCTTTGTCTTTCCTGAAAAATACACGTTTGAACAAGGGACAGCCTTTTGGGTTCACTCAGATCACTTATCTTGAAGAAAGGAACATGTAGCTGTTAACTGCTTTCTATAATTGAAATGGAGCACAGAGGAAGAAATCCCACCTTGTCCAGCAGTGGTCCTTCCAGCCCAGGTTCAGCCTGGCCCTCTTAAATCTTGTTGAAAGATGATGCTGGTTTCTTCCAGTGAGAACTCCCAGTGCAGGAGTAATGGCAGTGCTCAATTGCAATGTGACTTTCTGTGAGCTCTGGCCCACGGGTGCCACTGCCCCTTTCTGTGAGTCCTGTCACACTCGCGCTCCGTGTGTTTCTTCGCAGGTGCAGATGTGCACTCTAAAACTCCACTGGGAAGGACTGCGCTGCACGTAGCTGCTGTCATGGGCCGCTGTGAGTGCATTGAGCTGCTGGTGAGCTGTGGGGCGCGAGCCCTCGACCCAGACTGTGAGGGGCAAAGCGCAGTGAGGTTGGCCCGGCGCTGGGGCCAGAAGCAGAGCGAGCGTGCCCTGATGCGCGTCCCACGGCAGCCGGCTGGAGCCAGGCCTTGGTGCGGGGATGGGGCTGTGCCGCAGGCTCATGGACAGCCGGCCTGATATACACAGGCTGACCTGGTTCTGGCAGATCTCTGAGGACAGTCAGTAACTTTCCCAATGACACACGCTTTAAATAGAGGTCACTGAGTACCCTTTGTAGGGTTTTGTTATGAAATAATGTCACATTCCAATGATGCTGCAGCTAAGGTGACAGCTAGTTCAAGCACATAACCCTTGAGCACGTGCTTTATTTGTAATTTAAGCTTTTTGGTAGTGCTGCTTTAATTTCTGAGAGTTTAAAGTTGCCTTTTTTTTTTTTTTTTTTTAACCTGTGGATGTTGAGATCGGGAGGTGGCAGTGGGGCCGGCAGGGGGTGTCCCAGCACTGCACTCAGCTGCAGGCAGCAGTGCTGCATCCTCCCCTGGCTGTGGTGCTCCATCTGTCTTCAGCATAAGGTGATAAACATCCCTGACTTCTTCATGTGAATCGAGTACTAAAGCAAAGTTCAAAACCTTAGCCTATGGAAGCCAGTTAGTGTGGGAGAGCATATAGCAAACCTTATGTGCTGGCATTGATCTGAACAAACAGAATTCCCACTGTAGCGATGCCTTTATAGTACTGCTTAAAGAAAGCTCACTCTCTGTTTTCCTGTTGGTTATTACTTCTATGTGATTCAAACATACAGTTGTTGGGTAAATGCAATGACAAGATCACGTTCTATCAAAGTGATCAATAGACAAAATATAAAACGGTGTTTGGCGTCTTGCTGAGCAGTTGGGTATTGTAAGCAGGATTATACAGAGAAATCTTTAGAAATCCGTTATTCTTTCTTTGAATTGTCTGTCTAGACTGTCTGATCTGTGCTTAGGCTTCTAGAAAGGAGGAGAGGATTTGTAGTTGCTTTTAGGCATTATGCAGCATAACTCAGGAGAACATAAGAATGTCATACACAGAGAACTGAGTGTCCTCAGGATGAGGACCCCAGAAATGGTAGAAAATTACTTAGTATACAGTTGTGTAGGGAGATAGCAAGTATTGCTTGCTGGTAGCTGGAAACTCACCCTCAGGAAAGGAAAAAAAAAAAAAAAAAGAAATCCTAAATGCATTGTGGCTGGGAAATGAGTGTACAGTGATCCAAAATTGGGCAAATTAGAAGGGAATTAACGTCTGGACAAGGCCAGCACTGGAACAGTGTGTGCTGTTTTTCTTAGTCGAGAAAGAAGAACCCAGGCTAAAGAGAGACCCCCAAGTTAACCAGAGGAAAGGAGGGAGTTTGTCCTCAGGAGAGGACCAGGAATATGAGGCATTTTGTGTTGTGGTTGGTACTTCCCTTTCTCTGTGCTACAGTACAGAGAGAAGATCAGTCTTCACAAGTCTTTAGTGAGGACTTATTGATGAGCTTTGGGATTCACAGATAAAGGAAGGGGCTGATCATTATGAAGAAGAAAAGGTATTAAAATGCTTTGGGTTTAATTTGGCCAGGGCAGGACAAATGTCACAACTGTCTCCTAATATTAGGAAGTCCAAAGCAACTCTTTTGGAAGGACTGTGACTCCCCGGATGTAAAAATCAAAGTTAAATGAAGATGACAAGCACAGCAATACTTCATCACACTTTCTTACCATTACAGCTCACCCCTTTCCTTGCCTGGGCAGAGACCAGCAGTGTTGCTCAGAGCCATCACAACGTCTGCTGCTCCCTCAGAGCCTTGAGAAAGCCAAAGCTCAGCAAGCCTGACACACTGGCTGCTGCTACTTAGAGGTAGTTGCTGTAGCCAGTGACAGCCTTGAATGTCTGTAGACTGTCTATTGGATATCTATAGACTGTCACCTTTGAGAATTCTGAAGAATATGTTCCCCAAACATTTCCCCTTTCTCTAGAAACATTTCTAACTTTGAGTTGCATCTCAAATTTTTGCTTTGTTCCCGTGGGCTCCTCTGAGATAGCTGTTGCAGAAGGGAAGGTGTTGTGTTGTGCCAAAAGCAGTGTGCTCTCAGGACCCACTGGTGAGTGAATGCATCAATAAAGGAGTAGTGCTGCAGGGTCTGTTGCAGCAGTGATTTTCAGGCATTTTGTTGCAAGGCTCTGTGTGAATGACAGCTCTCCCTTTGCAGTGGGTGGATCCCACGTACTTGACCAAGAGCTGCGCCTTTGCTTTTGCTTTAGGGAGCAGACAAGCATCTCCTGCTGCTCCCAATTCATAACCCTGATACCTCTCTGGTATTAAAAGTTCCTTTCAGTGAAGACAGAGGGGCCATTTCTTTCAAAATGTGTTTCTCAGTACTGGAACTTCCATGCTTGTGTGGATATGGGTCCCATCAGGATCAGGTAACACCTAAGTAGAGTTTCCATGCTGGTGTGTAATATTGACACTCCTGGAAGCTGAATGCCACAGCTGCTCTGATCTTTTGAAATGCAGCCTATAGCAGGCCTCCCTATGAAACCTGGAGACTTAGACTTGAGAGCAAAGAACCACAACTACTTTGGCACTGTGCAAATAACTTGTTAGCTCAGTGGTTTTTTTTTAAACAAAGCCATCTTGTTGTTATACCTGTTCCATATTTATCTGTAGTGCAGAATGTCGTGGCAATCATGACATTCATTTTTCAAAGTGAATCAAATGAATAGAAATTGTTAAATGCTAGAGTACAATATAGCTTATAAAACCCAACAGACATCAGGGAAGTTGCACTGATTGGACTCTTAGATGCTGTTTTCCTTTTGCTTGGGAAACAGAATTGTAGTCAGCTTGCAATCTCCTCGACATTGTTCATGGAGGAAGCAGACAAAAAATACCAATGGCTGCAATTTAGTTAATTTTATGCTAAACACAATCAGCATTCAAACTGGGAGTTACCAAGTGAAAATGTATTGATAGAGAAGCCAAAATATTCTCTCTGAGTAAATGGTGAAGTATTAAAACAAAATCTCAAATAGACTCCTGAAAAGCCTATAACTGTAGGGCAGAGAAGATGCAAAGGTGAAGTTTGGCACTGCTGAAGTCAACAGGAGGTCATGAATTAATCCTCAATATGGGAGGTCATGAATCTGTGCGGTAGGAACCTGTGCAGCACTGGTATAACATAAGATCTTGTAACAACAAAGACAAAGATAAAAACAAATAAAAAAATAAATTAAAAAAAAAAAAAAAAAAAAAAAAAAAAAAAAAAAAAAAAAAAAAAAAAAAAAAAAAAAAAAAAAAGATTTGGAAGAGTCATTAGAAGAGTGATTGCTTTAAAAAAAAAAAAAAAGGTTGCTAAGATCTATCCAAATCAGGACCTATATATGAATGCTTTCTCTGCCATCAGTTTTCAAATTTGCAGCGTTCCTTGCATTGTAACCACCAACTGTGTTCAAAGACAACCAGAATTTGGTTGTGAACTTAGTGAGGATCGTGTTGACCATTAATGTTTAGAAAGGATAGCGGTTCACAAAAGGAAGCCAAAACCTATACACTTTCTAGCATGCTTCCAACATCTATTATGCTTCCAGCATCCCGTTTAGGTTGGTTTAATGCCTGACCTACACTGCAATTGAGGTTAGTGCTTTGCTTTTCCTTGCAGTCCTCCATATGGTATTCTGTTTGCAAGATTTGCTTGACATAACTGTCTGGTATGGTTTGTTGGTGTTTTGCTAAGATTCCTGTGTGTTCAGAAGCTAATAAAGGAACTGTCAACTCAAAGGCCTGTCTTAAAATGTGGCCGTACTGGCTTGGGATAAGAAATGCAGAGATTCCTCGTCCAAGCCTCTTCTGTGGAATTCGTGATGCTATTTCAATTCCTTTGGTTTCCAGTAACCAAAAAAACAATTGGGGTCAAGCAGAAGTCAAGGTATAAAAATTAATAACTGTGAGCTTCCTTACTTGTAAGCTGGACCATATGTTAAAGGAATGAGCAGTTCTTATATCTCTTGATGAGTGTTTGTATGCATCATTCAGATGTACATGTGTTTGAATTCCAGCCTGTACTGATTGAATTGGTCTATGATAATAAACAGGATAAATAAATCAGATGAAAGTAAAAGCATTGATATGCTTGTAGAATTGTGTGGGATTGAGTTCAGTACTATGACCTCGAGCAGGATGTAATTTCAAAAGTGCCTTAATTATGATGATGACATAAAATAAGGCTGAGGAAGCTGGAAGGGCAGAAAGATAGGAGGCAGAGGGACAAAACAAACTCATTTGGAATGACTTGGTTTTACCAGGATTACAGGCTGATAAGTGGCTTATGTGGTTTATGGTAAGGAAGTGTAGGGCCAGGGACCATAGGTAGTCAGAATCCAATTGGAGTGAGAGTAGTGTGCAGTACAGATCAGAGCATGGCAAAAAGGGCACATGCTGCATTGGGGGAAATCCTTTCTAGGGTGAATTGCTGTCTTGATGCTTCTTTTCTGATGAAGTTCTGCTATACAGCTGTGCTTGCTACACAGCTGAGGAACTGCTGGCCCTGTTGAAGAGGCTTCTGTTCAGCATTGGCAGTGTATAAGTTCCCTTGTAAATGAGAGATGGGTTTGAAATGATCTTTCTCCTTGAGGATTTCCAAATACAGTTGTTCTGGGTTACTAAAGCGAGGGGGAAGATGGAGGAAATGTGGCTGTCAGCACAAAGTAGGGTGACAGTCAGGTCTTGTCTGCCAGTGTAAAAATGGCCAGGAGCCCTTTCATGCTGGCTTCTTTTTTCTATGAAAAAGTCCTACAAGAGCTATGAGATGGGAGCCTGCTAATTGCACTTAAGGGAGAAGATCCAGCTTTTGATGGAAGAGTGAACTGCAGCTGAGC